CTAAACCAGGCCCAGGCTTGTAACCCTAACTACTAAGGAAGCTGAAGCAGGAGAATCAGAAAATTCAAGGCCAGCCTGGTCAACATAATGAGGTTTTCTCTCAAAATAAAAAGTGAGGGGCTGGAGAGATGGGTCAGCAATTAAGAACACTGGTTGTTCTTGCAGAAAACCCAGGTTCAAATCCCACACCCACATGGCAGCTAACAACTGTCCGTAACTCTAGTCCTAGGGGATCTGACAGACTCTTCTGACCTCCACAGGCACTGTACGACACGGGTGCACTTACCTACATGCAGGCAATACATGCATACACATAAAATAAAAAATTTTTTAAAAAAAGTGAAAAGGTTAGGAATATAGCTCAATGGTAGCACACTTGCCTAGCACATGAGAAACCTTAAATTCAAACCCAGTACCACCAAAAAGAAAGAAAAAAAGGAACCAAAAAAACCCATCTCACCTCTCCTGAATCATAATATGATTAACATGAACAAGCATCCCAGGTGATGATGACTAAGGAATTTGGACAGCAGGGGAAGAACTAGAAGATGCTAAGAAAGATATATTGCTAAGGTTGCCTCACTGCTTTAAACTTCACATCTTATTCAACTCTCATTTCATAAAACATTGACATAGGCACAAGGAATTACTGCATGGCTATAGTTGAGATCTGAGCCTGGTGTCTGTGTGAGGCATGCTAGGATTCTAAAAACCAGGAATGCCAGTGCTCCCTTCTCTTATTGCCCACACTCCTGTCCTGGCTGCCTCTCTATGCCTATGCATTCATATTTACCTGCTACCTATGTAAAGGCCAGTGGGAAGAACAAATGGACTCATCCACCACTAATACTAGATTAATAATCACTCTCTTGGTCAAAAAATCACCATTACTTTGAGTAAGATGCCAGTCAAAGTAAATGCAGAGATCAGAGCCTTGTCTTTAGACATTCTGGATATTAAACTCATTTCGTAGTACAAAAATGACTGTTTCATTGAAACCTGTCTCAGACTAGGGCTTATAGAAAATGTACAGTGGTAAAAGTATGCTGTGAAAGAATAATTGTTATTGTTTTGAAAAAAAAACTGTATTGATCTTCTCAGAAGAAATATCCTAGTCTAAAAGGAATAATTCTCAGCTATACAAAACTTCCTTTAGGATGGGTATGGTAGTACACACCTGTAATCCTATCACTTGGGAGACTGAACTAGGGGGATCAAAAAGAAGTCAAGGAGGCTGTAAAGAACTCAGAAGGTGCTGCTCTTCCAGAGGACCCAGGTTTGGTCCCCAGCATCCACATGGTACCTAACAACCACCTGTAACTCCAGTTCCAGGGGATCTGACACTCTCTTCTGGCTTACTCAAACATTGCACACATGTACTGCACTTACATACAAGTAGGCAAAACACTCATACACATAATATAAAAATAAATCAAAGCCGGGTATGATGGCACACACCTTTAATCCCAGCACTGGGAAGCAGAAGTGGATCTCTGTGAAATCAAGGCCAGGCTGGTCTACAAGCAAGCTCCAAGCCTGCTGGGGCTACAGGGAGACCTTGTCTCAAAAATCGAACAAGGGCTGAGAGATGGCTCTGCTCTTGGCAGAGGACCCAGGTTTGCTTCCCAGCACCCACATATGGTGGCTAACAACCATCTGTAACTCTAGTTCCAGGGGATCCAATGCCCTCTTCTGACCTTCATGGGCATTGTAGGATACAGGCAGATTGACATACATACAAGCAGCACACTCATACACATAAAAATAAAATATTTCAAAAAGTTGCTTTGTTTTCCTTTCCATTTCTTCTTAAAAAAAAAAAAAAAAAGAGAAACAGGGTCTCATTAAGCAGCCCTAGGCTGGCCTGAACTTTAGATGTTTCTGTCTCAGTCTCCTGAGTTCTGGAATTACAGGCATACACCAGTGAGGCAAAATGTGTGTGTGTGTGTGTGTGTGTGTACAGTACAAGGGACAGAACCTAGAGTTTTATACATTCTAGGCAAACAATCACTGAGCTACAGCTCCTTACTTTTATTCTTTTGTTTTTTTGAGACAAGTTCTCACTATGCAGCCCTGGCTTACCTAGAACTCACTAGCTATGTAGACCAGGGCTAGCCTTCAACTCACAGAGGTCTACCTGCCTCAGTCTTCCTGAGTGCTGGGATTAAAGGCATGCACCATTATGACTGGCCATTTTTTTGGGGGGGGGTGTCTTTTTGAGACAGGGTCTCCCTATAGCCCCAGATGGCCTGGAACTATGTAGACCTGGCTGGCCTTGAAGTCACAGAGATCCACCTGCCTCTACCTCCTGAGCACTGGGACTAAAGGCCTGCACCACCACGCCTGGCATTACTGGCCATTTTTAAATTTTCATTTTGAGATTGGCGGGCGGGGGGGGGGGTGTCTCACTACATTGCCCAGGCTGGCCTTGAACTTGTGATGCTCCTGCTTCAGCCTGAGTGGCTGGAAATACAAACCTATACCACTAGGCCTGGCTCAAAATAAATTTATTTTTATTTTATGTGAATGACTGTATTGCCTGCATGTATATAAGTGGACCTGTGTCGTGCAATGCTCAAGGAGGTCAGAAGAGGGCATTGGAATTCCCTGAAACTGGAGTTACAGATGGCTGTTATCTGCCATGTGGATGCTGGGAACTGAACCCAGGTCCTTGAAAAGAGCAAGGGCCCTTTACTGCTGAGTCATTGCTCCAGCCCCAATCCTGCTTTTTTTAAAAAAATAAAGCCTACTTTAATATCAAATGTAAAAAAAATCTATTACTAATAACTAATAAGCTGCAGGCTACTCTAGAAAGCTCAGGCAGGTAAGAACAATGCTGCTATGCTGAAAGGCTCCTCAGATTCTCAGTCATATGGCTTGGTTTTGAGGAAGTTAGTTAGGCTCTGCCAGTTTTATAGGTTTGTTGCTATTCTGTGCATGCACCAATGAGCCCAGAGGTTGACTTTAGGTATCTTCTTCTATTGGTCTTCACATTATTACTATTTTTAGAAAAGGTTCTGTCACTGAACCTGGAGCTCCTGGCTTAGGTTAGACTGGCCATCAAGATCCTGAGCTCCACCTGTCTTCATTCATGCCCCACCCATTAGTCCTCAGCACTGGGGTTACAGGTATGTGACACTGTACCTGGCTTTTTATGTGGGTGTTGGGCAGAGGAACTCAGGTCCTCATGCTTGCATAGCAAGCAAGCACTTACCCTTGGATTTCAGGCTGGTGGAACTCACTTTGTATATAGCCCAGGTTGGCCCTGAGGTAGCAATGATCTTCCTGCCTAAGCCTGCTAGTGTTAGGATTAGTTGAGAGTCACAGCGCCTGACTTCTGGGCTTTGCTGATTTTAAGGGCCACCCCTCCCCTTACTTTTTTTTTTTTTTTTTAAGCAGGTATCATGTAGCCCAGGTTGGTCTCAAACTCACTATGTCACTTCCGAAGTGCTGGGATTATATGTAGGCACTACTACTATATCCAATGTGGAGTGAACTTGGGGTTTTGTTCATACTAGGCAAGTACTTGACCACTGAGCTACATTTCTTCTAATCTATAGTTTCTAGGATCCTCAAGTACACTTCTAACATAATAGCAAAGACAATAATGACAGTGCAAAGGTAGTCTAGTCATCCCCAAAGCATTCTGAGACTCCCTATGGCCTTATAAGACAAGATAACTCCAACGACAAATTCAAACACTTTTTTCAAGTTCACTGTAGGGTTGTACTATTTGGTCTGGGTTGGCTGCTCTGAAATAAGCTAATTATAGGTCCACTATTCTGCCAAAACACTATGTAGAACTTGCTTCATTTCCCAAGAGATTTCCTTACCCTGTTCCCTGGCAGCAGGACTAACAACAGCCAAGAAGACAAGTATCTCCCAGATTCGCAAATTATGGGTCTTTACCCTGTTGCTCAGTTCTCAGAACCCCCAAATGAAGCCTACAGGTTTCACTTTTGTATCTGCCACCCATGCATATAACACAAGTCAAAACCACCCTAAGTCCTCAGTGCACTCAGCTTCAAACAGAAGAGAAAATATAAGTTCTTTATAGAAGCCAAGGTCGTTTGTGGGACTGTCCCTGCTTGGATGAGAGGGCTGAGATTCCCTCAGCACAGCAGTGTCTCTGTTAAGTGGCCAAGTTATGCAGAGCCCAAAGGAGTGGCAACTGAAATCAGAGGTATCATTACTTGGAACTGTATTTCTAGAATCCAAAAAACAGCAAATTCAAGTTAAAGGGCCCCAAGGAATACGAGGAAGTCTGGTTAGGGTAGACTTAAGACCAACAAAAAACCCTGGGCAAGTAGGAGGTTGATCATGTGACCCTGGCTTTAGTACCTCTCGCCTGTCTTCATTTATTGGCCTGCAGTCTGGTGGAACCACCTTTCCAGTCATATGTGATAATCAAGCAGTTTTACAGAAATGCTCCACCCCGTCCACGCTCCTCCTATGGCCTATTAAGTGTAGGAGTCCCAAGGACAAAGAGGGTCTAGGTTCAACTCTGAAACTGCAACGGCTTCAACGGCGCTGGAGAATGCCAGCAGGCAACTAACAGGGCTGTCCCCAAGCAGAGCCACAATCCGCACCGCCGCGGGCGGGGCCAGAGACAGAGAGAGCACGTTTGTTCACCCCCGCTCCCTCAAGCAATTCTTCGCGAATTCCAGCACCACGCCACACCTCTATTCGGCGGCTCCGGGCTCTGGTCCCGCGATCCGGACCACTCACCCTTCGCTTCCACCTTGGACGTGAGGTGCCGGTCAGGTCGGGACTCCAGCGGTTGGCCTACAGGCGGCCTCCCGCGGCGTTCACTTGACCCCGGAGTCGTGAGGGCCGCGCAGCACATGGCCCAGCCGCAACGGCCGGCGGTCGGCCAGGCGCCGGGCCCCTTTAAGGCCCGCACGGGTGAGCTCGAGTGTGGTAGGATGGCTCGGCAGCCCAAGGCCCGCGACCGCCTCGGCCCCACCCCGGGACGCGCGCTGCCTCCCTCAGTGGCTCACCTTGGCTCCCAGGAGCCGGGCTGCAGCAGCGAGTAGAGCCATGGAGGGCGAACTCCAGGACCTGGCGGGAAGGGAAGGGAGCGCGCTGCGGCGAGCACTGGAACCGCAGCCGAACACCAGACCGCACCAACTGCCTGACAAGGTTGAAAGGAGCGGGGTGAGAGGACCGGTAGACCCGGCGGCGGCGCCCAGCCCAGGGTCCTCAGCGAGGACCCGCCCCCTGCCTGACACCCGCCCCCTCAGGGGACTCGCCCTGGGCCAGCCATTGGTCCAACACCGAGGAGGGGCGGGACCTGAGCCACTGACAGCTGTTGTGGCGGGGAGGATTGGACCGAGAGGATTAGGCTAATAAGTGGGTGGAGAGGGAATTGTAGGTGTCTAAGGATGTGCCTGGGAACTCAGTTAACTTCCTTCTTTGGTTTTTCCCTTTGCCCTTAAAACACTTAGGGTTAGTTCTCCCCAAAATACGAAAGACAAGCTCCAGAACGCGACTTTTGAAGGTCAACTCCTCAATAAATTATTACGGCAACTGATCCCTGCCCACTCCCCCTACCTGCTTTGCATGCTTTCTTAATGAATATCTTTGGTTGACTTCATAGCCATAGAGGTGACGTGTGGAAAACAAGCGATGATGCCAGAGTTAGCTGCTTGATGAAGATTATTTAAGACCAGCAGGAATCTTGGTATTTATAGATACTAATTGATCTATGCGGAGAAGAGAAAAAATAGGAGCCTAAATATCTAATGCTGTTTGTAAGCTGTAGGTTCTGTATCTAAGGCTGGGAAATCTAAGTCTTACAAAGGTCCCCTTAATGTGAAGGCACCTAGCATTGAGTCGCTGGGTCCTGGGCATTATTCCCTCCTCATTCCAGTCACAATGCCATACAAACATCACATTTAGCTGCATGATCAGGAGCTGTAGAACTGCGTCCAGCCAAGATCAGACATTAGGCATTGCCCTTTTCTGTCCCATCATTCACAGTATTTCCAAAGAGCTCTAGGACACTTCTCCTACTTGGCTCTCTTATCCTTTGCTCTTCCAGAGACTCATGGCTCTGGAAATGACCCAAGGATCTAAAGTGATCTTCCACATCACTCTTAAACACCCCTGGGTAGAACACCTCAGAACTTTTTGTTCTTTCCTAAGCCTATCATTGTCATTGACCTAAGGGCAGAGAGGAGCTGACCCAAGGATCAGGGCACCTTATCTATAAACCCCAAGCCCCAAAGTGAACAATCCTTTTATCTTCCCACATAGCAGTAACAAAGTGCAGAGGTCTCAGTATCCATGCAAGCCAAGTTTAGATAGACCTTGTTTATAAAGGACGTAGTTTATGGCCTAGACTTGGAAAAGGAGAAGGAAAACTGTTTTCCCAAGTTTTCTCATAGCTAGACTTATACTACCTCCCAGTATTCTTTTTCTGGCTTGGGAATCAGGAAGTTCTTAGGAAACAATTTATAGAGGAGCCACACAATACCCCAGAAGCAATGACCTCATTCTCCCTAGAAACTTCAAAGCTTCACTGATCAATATTTGCTCCCAATTTAGCATCTCACAGAGGGTTTCCTCATAACCCTCAAAAAGTCCGACCTGGCTCCTCCCCTCTCATTAATTATTCACAGAGACTAGCTAGTAGATCAGAGGACTGAACTCCAGTGCTCTAAGAGACAAAAGGCATTCCCCCTCAGGGTGAGGTTACCAAAGGAACAGTTCTTGTATGGACATAATGGTAACCAGTTCAGAGTTTTAATAATCGCAGGAAGAGTTGGGGGGACAGCAGTGTTCTAAGCCTCTTGGCAAACGGTCCTAGAGATTAGCATCAAAATGATTTTATAGATTTGAAGTTGTTTAATCCTGACATCTACTGTTGTAAGGCTAGTATGAAAGCCCAAGGACCAAAGGAGCTAAGTGGAATCTCCCAGAAGCTGAGTTTGTGTGTCAGTCTCTGTGTCGGATGGCTGGAGATTAATACTATGGCCCCCAACATGCTACAACTAGTACTTTACCACTAAGCCACACTCCTAGGCCTAAAATCTCTTTTCTGAACATAGATGGGAAAGTTAGGATTCCTATGAATATAGCAGCTATATAAACTCCAAATATAATTAAGTGCCTGGGAAATACAAGGGGCAAAAAAGAAGGCCAGGCCTTGAGATCATTATGACCTTGTGATGACTTCTTTAAAATGCACAGAGACACACAGGGACAATGGTGCCCCCTGGTGGCCAAGACAAGTGGGAGAATGCAGCCTAACTACAGATTCCTCTAACATTGTGTAACCCAAACTTCCTTAATAGACATTCTCTCTCTCTCTCCTCTCCCTCTCCCCCTCCCTCCCTCCTTCCCTCCCTCCCTCCCTCCCTCTCTCTCTCTCCCTCTCTCTGCCTCTGCCCCCTACCCATGCACACATGTATGTACTGGTGATAGAATCCCTGAGCTTTACACATGCTAAGCAATGAGGTGTCTTTTTTAAAAATTTTGAGAAGTGAGGAATGGTGACAAGTGCCTATAATTCCAGCATTAGGGAAGGGCGGTGGAGACAGGAAGATCAGGAGTTCAAGGTCATCTTGGGACACAAGAGACTCTGTCTCAAAAAAACAACAGAAAAAAATGCTGGGTGTGATGGCGCATGCCTTAAGTCCTAGCTTGGGAGGCAGAGGCAGGCAGATTTCTGTGAGACTGAGGCCAGCCTAGTTTACATAGTGAGTTCCAGGGCCTGCAGGAAGACTCTGCCTCAAAAAGATAAATAAACAAACACAAAAACCAATAGAAAAAACAAAAACAAAAACTTTGAGGCAGGGTCTCACTAAATTGTCCAGGTTGGCCTGGAATTTATTATCCTCCCATCTCAGCCTCTGGAGTAGCTGGGATCACATGCCATGTTCAGCTGACAAAAGCTAAACTGTATTGAGTGCTTACTATTTCAAGTTATTATCTAACTATATGGTACATGAATCATCTTAATTAATACAACTCTAAGATATATAGGCAACAGTACCTCTAAGGAGGAGGAAACCCAGATAAAGTATCCTGCTAAGGGTCATAGCTCATAATTAGCCTAGCTAGAATCCAGACTTACGTTAGCCTCATTCCAGAGCCCATGTCTATCTCCCAAGCTTTACCATTTACATGATAAATGTGAATTAAAAGCTGCAACTTACAGGTGCTGGGGATCATATCCAGGGCCTCCTACACACTCTACCACTAAGCTACACCCTAGGCTCCAAGACCAAGAGGATTCTTTGAATTGTTGTCAATGGATTTCTGGAAACATGAGCACAGTGTGTTGCTATAAATGATAGGTAAAAATGTTGGGAGAGAGCGAGCGCGGATGGATAGAGGCACCGAGGCACAGATAGAATTCTCAGCGGGATACAGATTTATTTCGCACGGGGCACCTTTCCCTCGGGGAAGGGAAAGATGTCAGGGAAGGGAAAGATGTCAGCGAAGGGCAGGGAAGTGAAAGATGTCAGGGAAGGGAAAGATGTCAGGGCAGGGAAGGGAAAGATGTCGGTTGTGAGCTGGGACTTTATATGTGGGGGCTTTAGGGTGTAGAAGGGGGGAATGTTTCGGGGAGAAATCAGGGAGGGGGAAGCAGGAAAAGCAGGTAGGATTAGGGTCTGGAAGTGTTTACTTTTTCCCTCTTAAGAGAAAAGCTGTTGTGATAAACAACTTCTAAAATCTCTGGTTATCAGGTAGAATCTGCTTGTCCTATCTTTGGAGGTCAGAGGAAAGGCAGGCTGCTTCTCAGCAGAGTTTGTTTCCCTTGACTTCAAAGGTCAAGGTGAGGTCCCTGTTGGGGAGGGGGGAAACTGCTGCTGTTTGGAACCCTAACAATAAAGATATTTTAAAAGCTAAGGAACTATATAGTCTTACTCATCTGTAAAATCTTTGTATACCCATAACTGATATACATGAAAAATGGAGACACCCACCCTAGAACACATGAGGACAAAACAAACATTTAGCAGCTGAAATGGCCAAGGTGACTAAATGGGCTTCATTTTCTTTTGTGTGGTGCTAGGGATCAAACACAGGGGTTCATGCGTGCTACATGTGAACTAAAACCTAACCCTAATAATTTTCAGTAGGGAACAAGGTCTTGCATTGCCCAGGCTGGCTTCAAATTGCTAGGCTCAAGCAATCCTGCCAAGGCCTCTGAAGTAGCTGGGACTACAGGCATTTATTACTGTGCCCTACTCTAAGATGGACTGCTGCTTCTTTTTTGAGACAGTTCAGCCTTGAACTCATGATGATCCTCCTTCCTCATCCTTAAAATGGAATAAGGAATAACTAATCTGGAAAAATGATCAGAGGACTTAAGCTTTTCTACTAAAGATATTTGAATGCAGAGGACATGAATTCAAACTTGGAGATAGTTTTCAAACATTTATTAGACGTACTACCTCACACAGCTACTAGAGACTGTACTTCATGAAGTGAGGTGTAGCAAGAAAGATCACTGGCCTAGGAGTAAGATGATCATAGGTGGTAGAGTTTGCTCCTCACTAACTAGCAAGATAACCTCTCTGAGCTTGCTTCTTCAGCTACAGAACAGAATAATATATACCTGGGTATGGTAGTTTATGTCTATAATCCCAGCACTGACAGGCTGATGCAGGGGGATCTTGAATTTGAAGCCAGCCAGGGCTCCATAGCAAGACCTTGTCTCAAAAACCAAAACCAAAACCAAAACCAAAAAAAAAAACTATAAAAAATTCCAACATCTATTTCAGTTTTTTTTCTTCCTTTTTTCCATTGCTAGGAGTCAAACTCAGGGTCTTGCACTACCACTGAGCCACATCCTCAGCTTGTAAGATAGGAATAACAAAGATCTGGAGAGATGTTCAGCAGTTGTGATGGCTTGCTGAAGACCTGGGTTCAGTTCCCACACTCATGTCAGATGGTCCATAATAGTCTATAACTCCAGTTGCAGGGGATCTGACACTCTTCTCTGGCTTCCAAAGGCCATCTTACCAGCATGCACATGGTGCACATACATTCATACAAGCATACAGGTGCTCACACATATATATTTTTAAAAAATCTTTAAGCCTGGTGTGGTGGCGCATGCCTTTAATCCCAGCACTTGGGAGGCAGACGCAGGCCAATCTCTGTGAGTTCAAGGCCAGCCTGGTCTACATAGTGAGTTCCAGGACAGCTGAAGCTACAGGGAGACCCTGTCTCAAAAAGACCAAAAAAACAACAA